ATAGACACATAGATACATACACACACATACACACACATGTATATATATATATATATATATATGCAATATAACTTACTGATTTGGTTATTGGTCGAAATTAATTTGATCAAGGACCTATATAGATCAGCTATTTGTGTTTATGAGTATATTTATGCTTTTGTAGGATTCGGAAAAGTCTATGAGGATAGTAATACGCACATGTACGTGTCTGACGATTTGTATATTAATATTGAAACCACACCTAGGAAATGTGATGTGTTTCGATCCATTTCAGCAGAGTTCATTGCCCATTCTGTCCATTCGTTGCCTTCAAACCTAGCCTTGTCTGTCCCATCGTCAGCACCAAATACTAAACTCGCCGCCTTGTTCTTTGCATGAACCTCTCGCGAAAAAGATTCGAATAGGCTGAGTATATAGGCGAAATCGGGTGTGCCACTTTCGATACTATCTGATTTCATCCTGGAACCAGACCGTATATTTGCACTTATCCCAGTCATGCTTGCGATTGTTTGAACCAGAGCGCTAAACAGAGGGTATATAGACCAGGTTTGGCTCAGATATTTTAGGTATACATACAAGACCTAAGTACAATAGTACGTTTGAGGACAATAGTACTATTTAAGATGTAAACCCAAGCACCCACACTTGCTGTGTCAGTCCAGCAGATGCAACAATTATTACGTGTGATAAGGATGGCATTGCGACGCGGAGTCGCAAGTGAGTACGACACGACAGTCGCACTTTGCGTAAGTAAATAACTGAAGGAAAAAAGTCGCCTATGCTCGACGGCTCGAGAGACGAGAGATGAGAGACGAGGATACAGAATCGAAGATAGTAAATATATGATCTGGCCTTCCCAATAGTTTTATTGATACGAAATCCAAATCTAGACTCGTTGAAGTACTCGTCCAATAGTTATCTATTAAATTGCTTGGAATGTTGCGGGTTTGCCTTGTTCTGTGACGGAATTGTATATTTATTTTGTGGTTGCAAATTATGCACAATGAGTGGCCCTCAATTTGACATCGATGTTAAGCTGTAGAGATACCGAATCAAATCAGGGCTTTGTAGAAATATTTTCCGTACTAGACCCTTTAAAGTTCAAACATTTTATCTTGTTATGTATTGGACTATTGGCTAGGTGTGAGTTGTTGCTACAGCTACTCTCGCTCAGTCTCCAATCAGACGACAGACACTCACACTGTCACAGTTTCACTGTCACAGAGTGATGACACAGGCTCTCACTCCATTCTAAAGTGAAAAGTCCTATTTACAGCACCATAACCATGGCCATCTGGATTTGGGTCTCTGCTAAAGTCGTAGAGGAGAACTTGATTTTCGCATCGAGACCCTGATCCAGAGCCCCAGAGGCCAGAGGGCCGTGACATAACCTCTTGTTAACGTTCCGCCAGAAGGGTTTGTACGTTCAACGAATAACGTTCAACTGGTTAATAAAAACGTGGCCTAAAAAGAAATAGTCAGCGCGACCTAGATATTGCACCTGCTACTATATATTTAGCTACATAATGTTATATATTTAGATCAATGAACGAGTGAGAATAAGGACAAACCTTGGCGACATGCTTGACCTGTAAATTGATCCCTTCTCATATATAATGAGTCGAACTATGGTAATATAGTTCAACGTCCAACGTTTAACGGGTAGAATTTAAACGTAGGAACGTTATACGGTATACAGGGTCTAAAGAAGACGGGATTTTTCTTACTTATCGTTTTTCACCAGGAACGCTTTATGAAATCAAAATGTAGTAGAGAAATAAGCAACTCCTCTCGTTCAAAACTTTACAGTTTAAACTGCGATAGAACGAGACTATGTAGTGTGACACTAGAGAAGAGTCATTCGGTATGTGTCTGGCTTTGTATACATAAAAACATGCGACTGTCTCTCCACATAGAATCATAGATAGGTAACATATATATATACATACATACATACA